TTTTTTTAAAGATACCTGTATCATATATAAAATCTATTATTCAAACTACTCAAGGTACATGCGTTCATTCCAAAAATCTAATGTAAAAAAGAAATAGTCTAACATTTCAAAGCTCTTGTCATGTAATTCAAAATTACATTGTTTAAGTGCCATTTAGTAATTGGATGAGAATAACACAAGACACAATTATATTGAATACAAGTTACTTGAAGAGTTGATTTCAGCAACGTAAAGATGGGAGAACCCTCGTCGAAACGTCGCTGAAATAAACTCTTCAAGTAACTTGTATTCCATATAATTGTGTCATGTGTTATGTAATTCAAAACTGTTGTCATAATCGTCATTTGATTCAAGGGTTTGTGTATGTCCAAAGCAATTTAATTTTTAGTTTTTCAGGATCTAGATAAATAAACATTCACTTGAGTCAGTGAATGATGTTTTGTTTAAATTTTCAGTACTATAAAATTTGAACTAAGGGCACTACTAAGTAACCAAGTTGTTATTGTTTTCAAATTATTTGAATAGGAATTCCAAGGAACAAAAATTAAAATTGGTGTTGTCTTAATATAAAGTAAAGAGACTTAAGAGGTTATGAAGTCAGCCTCAGAATAGCATCAGACAAAATGATGAATTTAATAAATAAATAAATAATCAGAAAAGGAAGCTGTTACAAAATTCAACACATACATCTAAACAAATAACCCAGCAATAGATCTCCACCCTGCATTGGCCGAGGAGGTTCATTGAGAGGGCCTGACAAGATAAACGATCTAGTCGTTTGGATGGCATGAAAAATCGTGGTCCTGTGTATACATTGGCATGCACTTAAAAGATCCCTTGGCATTTGGAATTTGATACAAGAGTAGGTCATAGTGCCGCTACCCATGCAAAATTTCCCTCATAGCACACTGTATGACATATGCCAGTCTTCATAGTCGGAGCAGAACAGTAGGACGTTAAACCTCATTTCATTTTATTTCATTTGCTGCCCATCTTCTCAGACAGAGTAAGAAAATGTAGACATATTTCCATTCATGATTCAATAACAACCGACATTTAATTATCATTTTCTATCTGCAGTGTCGTTCAACCCACCCATCCAGTTCAGCAGGTTATTTGTTTGGTTGGACGCAAGTGTTGAATTTTGTGACAGTCCCTAAAGTATCAATATCATACCCATGTTTAACCAAATGTGTAATTTGCTTAACTAAACACCCAAGTGAGATTCTAAATAATTCAAATATTGGTTTTGATAATAAATTGGTTGTCAAGGTTACTAATAATAATGTTTGTAATCATAAAGCCTATAGAACAATACAGTACAGAGACTGTGTGATATGAAATGTATGGCAATAAATAATAAATGTTGTTGGCGTCATACACATGTATTGTTTAAGATGAAAATGATGTTTATAATTTTAGCCATACGGCAAGCTGAGTATTGTATCTCCTATACAAGATTATAATCCTGTGGGTACATGCACAACCTTAATAAAATACAGATCTATATTTCGTTTGTTTTTTATACTATCGATAGCCTCCACTTCGTGAAGATTTGACCGGTCATAGTGATATGTCATACACACCAGCTTTTCACTCTATGACATGGGTATTCAAAAACACACAACTTTCTCTAAGATTTGTTTTCTATCGCAGCAAATGTCTAGCCACAGTTCCATTTGATTGGCTAATCCCTCACTTCAACCAGAACACTGGTTATTTAACAACTCTTCCAGATCCCAGTGTAGTGAAGACAGGTAAAACGGAATTTTAAACTATAAAAAAACGAAACAAAATAAGATCTGAGTTTTAATCAGATTGGTACAGGCACAGAGGTAGAATTTATACTCTTAAGTATGGTACCGGATTTACAAATAGTAAATGGCTATATTAGTTATTAGTTACCCATCCCTTAATGTCTTTTTTAATTAATACTTATAATTATTTCAGATCAAACAATTTATATTCTCAGAATTCCAGCATCCCTGTTTGAAACACCAACTCTGGGTGCCTAAAATATTCTGTCAACTTCTGCCAAACAATATTTCTCTCTTGAAGCGACTAGTTTCGTTCATTTCAAACTCATCAGGCTTAAATGAAATCGTGCGGATGTTCCATTTATATCTGCCAAACAAAGTTATTGCAGTATTAATAATTATGTCAAACACTTAATAAATTCCTGATAGGAATTGCAGTAGTCTATCGATAAGGGGCACATAATTAAACTGGCTGAGAATGCAAAAGTCTTCATAAACCGCAGAACGTAATGTTCTATCTAAGGATGCACCCAGCATTGATCTCATACAGAGAGACAGGTTTCCAAGGATGAGAAATTTAATGCATGTCATGACATTTACTTCGTACCAGCAAGACCTGAATGTTGATCAAAAATTTAATTAACCCTTTGGCACTTGGACTGCCTGAAACTATTGCTTCCTCTAGTGGTAAATGAATAGCCGTGAACTATCTAAAGACTGACTGTACTAATTTTGTGAAACTGAAATTTCACAAGTCAATATTTATACAGTATGTACCAATCTGATTAAAATACAGATCTATATTTCGTTTCGTTATCTTTTTATACTTTAGATGGCCTCCACTACATGAAGATCTAACCGGTTGTAGTGGGAGGTCACGTCAGGGGTCATATGAGCGGCTTTTGACTCTATGGCGTCAGACATTTGATTAACTAATCAGTGTTGATGTTTCTAGTGGAATACCTACAGTTCCATGCACCACACTCCAAGAACTCACTGCAACAGACAGTTTCATTGGCTAATCCCTCACATCAACCAGAACGCGGGTTATATAACAACTCTTCCAGATCCTAGTGTAGTAAAGACAAGTAAAACCAAATTTTGAACTATAAAAACAAAAATGAAATAGGATCTGTGTTTTAATCAGATTGAGTAAGTACCGAGTTCTAAAGGGTTAAACTGAAACTAACATTTTATGAGGCAACTTCACTACACATACAATTTCATCTATAATTTAGCCAATTTAACAACTGATATATACAGCTATCTATTAGATAATATACCAGTCAGCTACCTACTTTATTTAATAATCTGTGGGAAAATTCTCTAATTAACTTCATAATAAATATAGAAATATTAATAAACACTGGGGCATGTTTCACAAAATTTCAACTAAGATAAAATCCAAATTTTAGTAATTTGATTGGATAATATTAGATTGATTTTAGTGCTTAGCCAATCAAAATTGAAGTAGGTACTAAAATTTAGATTTTATCTTTAGTTAAGATTTCGAGAAACAGGGCCCTGGAATCAAGAGATTCTAACCAATACAAGAGTCTAACTATCAATAACTAAAGGTACACTCCCCTGGAGAATATTATTGATTAAGGATATTAATGAAAGAAACGGTTCCGTAAACATCCATTGATTGGAGAAGAAAAGGACTCGCAGCGTAAAATAAACCTATGAAAACTGATACTGGGCATGCAACATTATACATGTACTTCAAATTTTTCATGACCCTAACATTATTTTCAGGTGAAATTTAATGACTGGATCTAACCGAACGTTTGTACTGAGAACAGTCGTATGGTCTGCTGTCGAACCCCACTGATAAATCAGCCACTCAATAAGTTTAGTGATTATAACAAAATATGGAAAACATGAGAGGGCAGATGTCCAATATTAGACCTTCCCCCTTTTCAATTAATTTTTAAGCCGATACCAAAAATAAACCTTAAACAGAGAAAACGTCAAGAATAATCAATTTACTGAGTGCTTCTCACTGTTCATTGTCTATAGAGAACGGTGTAGGAGTATTATTGGAGAGAACATCGTCTATTATATAATTAACGAAGCTTCCTTAATGTATGTTTGATAATAACCATACACCAACGTGGTTGAATCATACTTAGTTCTTCTTCTCTTACTTTCTCGGTAATAATAACATTGACCTTGGCAGTGTACCTCCGTATAGCGAGCCTCGAGAGAGACTTTATATAACTTAATCAGGATTATCTTACCGTTACTTATTGTCAAGTTAATTTTACTTATAGTTTTATTACCTATCTTGTATATCGTACTGTCTATAGGTAGATACTACTGGGGTTATAGAACCCATCCCTTGACCAATTATTTATTTACACCTTTCTTTGCATTCATTATAAAAGAAAGCAATAAGCTCTTCCCCCTCGAGAGTTTTCACAATAAAAATTCTTAGGTTTCGGGCCTGGAAGCTATATCCTTGGTGAAATAATAATCATACGCTATTCAGATGCTTACATTTCTTATATTTAAACTAGTTTAAAAACACTGGCGTTTTTAAGTTAAATTAGTTTAATGATTGCTGGTGTTTTTGTTTTAAAATAGATTAATTTGAGCTGTCTGAACAGCATATAAAACTTTAAGAAAATTAGCTTGACAATATCTATATCACAATATATACCTGTACACCATTGACTTTTGGGTAAAATATTACTTTTTGAGTGATTTGTTTAGTTTCTATATATATTGAGAAATGTGACAGAAAATAATGTAGGGCTTGTTAAAGCTCCTTAAGAAATCACACATTGCTTTTCAGAAAGGCCATTCAGTCTATTTAATCTTAAACAAGTTAAAATGCCATAAGGGTTGTAAATAATACCACTGATAATATTGGGTTTTATTAAGAAAAATATCACGTATCTAGGTTTCTAGATATTTTAGAAATCTAGATCTATTGGTTTCTAGATATTTTAGAAATCTAGATCTATTGGTTTCTAGACATTTTAGAAATCTAGATCTATTGGTTTCTAGATATTTTAGAAATCTAGATCTATTGGTTTCTAGACATTTTAGAAATCTAGATCATGTGGTTTCTATATATTTTAGAAATGTAGATCATGAGGTTTCTATATATTTTAGAAATCTAGATCACAAGGTTTCTAGATCATGTCTAATAGTAAATAAACTAAATATTTAGATGAAGAAAAAAAAAGAGTGAAAACATAACAATAAAAACAAACACGCGACCACACAATCATTTCAACGCACATATAATCTAACAAATATCTCCTAAATATTAAGAGATAATAAGGTATGCAGTTTATGAATTAAAACTTCTCTACTTTCTATTTATTATATTTACTTCTTATTACAGGATGCTTGTACCACCATTGCATTGTGGGAAATAAATATCAGTGGTTGTAAAACAGTGACGTTTGTTATGTATGTTGGTACTGGTATTGCAATTCACTTAATCCATTATACTGGCAACTTGTCTCTATGATTCATCTTTTCAACACAGATATCCACGTCTGCTTATTTTCACTCCATGTAACATTTCTCTGGCTCTAATTAGCTGTTTCTATTCAATTATTACTTGGCCTACAAAACCCATACTTCCCATTGCTATCGTTTTCCATCCCAAACTAACATTTATAAACTTTTAAATTCAATAAAAATGGATAATAATAAGAATAATATTAATAATAATAATAAAACATGAATTAAAAACATTCACTGTTTCGTAATTTTGAACTATTGCACTAAAACGTGATAAAAAGACTTGAAATTGAAGAAGAGAAGATCTGCATCTTGAGAAGAATCATTCTTACGTTTCATTTTTACATCGACAGCAGAATTATTCCCAGAATAGCATGAACACCGGCAACAAAGGGCACGTAACCGCTGGTTTTCCGGTGACCCTAAATTTACATTTCATTCACAATTTGGGAACAGACAGACTGACCCTATTCACTTTTTTTATTAGCAAATTGAACACAGGAGGAATCAAGTTGCCATATCAACCAAAATACTTTTTTTGTACACAGAGAGAAACATCACTATATAAACCCCTGAGTCATTAATTACAGCGAGATTAAAATTGCATAAAAAACAAACAACACTATATCTGGTTGGTTGATGTATCACCGTGACGACCACGACGACGATGGCGACGAACACGACAACAGGATCAACAACCATTGGTTGTATCTAGAGTAGTGGAAACAAACTTGACTTAAAATAATTCAACTTTCTGACTATTTTACATGATTACGCACGTCCATGCAGAGAAGAATTAATAACAATTTATTTTGATTAATACTTTCAGAATATCTTTCCTAAGGCTTAAGTTTTAATTCCAATCAAGGATTTTTGTTTGGTTTTTGCATGTTTGTCTACACACGTTTTTTTTTTCTCTTTTAGAACATTTTCTTTCCACTGGAATACATGCTCTACATCCAGCACCTCTCTCCACAAGAGACGTAATGAATTTTATTTCCACACACAGCTTATCACACTATGACTAATAAACGTGTAGATGCCTTTTCATCAAGGCTATTAATCTAGTCGATGGTATTTTAATCTTCCTCGTATCTGGAGTGAAAGCCGCTAATCATCGGCATATCTAAAACTTTCAGAGTCTGTGGACCGTTTATCTGAATTTAACAAGTCGGAGGATCATTTATCAAATGGAGGGAAGTCAATAAAATTCGGATCTATGTCATCAGATTAAAGATGGTGGAGCTGGTGTTGTAAGATGGCCACCACGATTGGGAGAGAAGTCAGATTTGTTAACCGTTGTTTCTTGTTGTTGTAGATGATTCATTGAGAAGATGAGTAAGAGGTTCGTTCAGTCTGAAATATATTAAACAATAAAAAGATTAGAATAATGAAATATGAAAAATATAGGTTGCCAAACAACAAATTTCAAGACCTTTGTTGGACTTTAAACTTCAGTCTGTTTACAATCATTCCCCAAAGAGGAATGTGTTCGAGTAATTGACAGTTTTGTGCGCCATATGCAAGTTTGCCCCAAACGCCACAGAGGCCATTTGGAACATATTTTGGAAAGAAACGACCAAGATAACTGAAACTTTGGGAAATGATCGTAAACAGACTGAAGTCTAAGTCCAGCAAATGTCTTGAAATTTGCTGGACCGTTGTAGGATTTAATCAACCTTTTATGCTTTCTGTTTTTTTGGGGGGTTACCCTGTATACATCCCTCCAGCAACTTTAGGATTCTTATGTTATTTCAAAGTACCAGAGTTGTTTTATGTAATAAATCTTAATCTAGTATCATATAGATTTAATACTTCTACCAGGTTCAATTAACTTTTTGATAAATTGAGTCTTTCTCAGCGGGGAGCCATGGTGGCTCAATGAGTAAGATGCTGGCTTGCTAACCATAGGAGTTCTTCGTTTTCCTCCCGGCATTGGTTTCGCCTTATCAAATGTGCATGACAGAGAGCCTGATAAGGAACCATGACTAGTTATTCGGATTGGACGAAAAACTGACGTCCCGCGAACACATAAAAGAACCAATAACTTGGAATTCTAAATAAGAGTATGGCTTATACCCGTCTTCATTAGCACAGTCCGTGTAGAACAGTAAGATGTTAAACCCCATTTCATTAGAGTCAGTCCCAGGTCAATTATCTCTGATATCATACTTTCAGAGACTTAACATTTGTATAATGATTGTTGAAAGCCAGATACACATAGAATATATCAATAATATATCAACTATATAAATATAGCATGTAGAGAATCAATACTCTATCAGCATCCATGGTTTCCATCTATACATCTTATTATACAAATATACATCAAATAAATACTATAGTCCGCTATTTTATCTAAATTCTAAGATAAACATATCACTTGTTTTAGAGAGAGAGAGAGAGAGAGAAATGGGGTTTAAGTCCACTCGACACAGACTAGGTCATTTCGGGATTAACACATAGTTCAATTCTATTTCAACAATTCGCTTGCGTGTAAGGGTCTTTAGCAGTGGGAGGGACCCGGAGAAAAGCCACGAGGTTGGACTGGCAACCCTACTCCTTGCCACGTACAACCAAGGAATTGAAACCACGACAGACCTTACAATTTACGGCACTGGCAATCCCCCTGCAGTGGAAGGAAAGTGGAGGTTGGATAGGCAACCATTCTCCTTATGACGTACAAGCGGGGAATCGAAACCACACCACAACAGACGCATTGTCCCATCGGCCTCCCAACTCTTCCAAAACTATGGTCAAAGGTTACAAGTGATTTTTTTCATAAAGAAAATGGACCTTCAAACAGAAAAAAAATATTTACCATTTTAAAGGGTAAATGATATGTAAAATAGATGAGACTAAGAGATTAAGATATGTCATCATCTAGGTCTGGTACAAGGATACAAGTAGGTGAACTATAGATAGATAAATGTTGATTGAAGTTTATTTTAAGATCAGTAACACATGTTAATCGTGTACATGTGTAAAATTATTTCCAGTTGTTACACATAGTTCTATTATCAGTTAAATCAACTTTTTTTTATAATAACTGATGTAATATATCTACATTTAAACAAATGTTACACACAGTTCTATTATTAAAATAACTTTGACTACTTCACACGATTCTGATGTAATATTTACACTGAAACAAGTGCAGTCTAATAGTGGAAATTGGGTTACAGTCTACTAAATAATACTTCATCATCAGTCTATTTCAATGTACCCCTTTCAGTCCCAGATTTTGATGAAGAGAAGCCCTAAGCTATTCCACATCCCAATTTCCCATCTTGACAACAGTGCATGCTATTTAAACACAACTGGTCAAAACCGAGGATGATGACAGATGTTTAAGACTACAGTGTGTGTATGAAAGGCTTATGACAGTGTCAAAAATATTATACACCTTGGCGCCTTGGATCTTCAGGCCCTAGGCTTCAGTCTGCCAAGCCTATAGGTAAATCCATCACTGAGCCCTTTTCTATAGAATGCCTGGGGGGTTAGATGGGCGAATGGTAAGCACGTGTGCGCTGTATCATAAGGTCTGTCATTGAGTGAACTCGTGTGGTTTCAATTCCCTGGTTGTACGTGGCAAGAAGTAGGGTCGCCTGTCTAACATCGTTGGTTTTCTTCGGGTCCTCCGGTTTCCTCCCACTGCTAAAGACCCCTACACACAAGCAGATTATTGAAATATAATTGAACCATGTGTTAGTCCCGAAATGACCTACTTTGTGTCGAGTGGACTTAAACCCCATTTCTCCCCCCTCCCTCTCCCTCCCTCTCTAGAATGCCACCAGCTTGTTGTATTACTAGAGGAAAAATACTAAATATCATGTCAAGTTCTTTCTGGTACTTCATATCCGAGTCAAATCGATTGTATAGTTTGAATTATAGGATACTTAAAGTCAAATCTTAAAACTGTAGAGTTTGAATTATAAGAAGGAGGAGTCTGACCAAGAAATACCAGCCTGTGAAATACACTGGCTATAGCAGTAGTAGAAGTTGAGGATGATTCTAGTCATAAAACACTAGAACTAGAATCGGTAATACCGGGTAATCATCTATAAATTATCCATACAAATACTTGTCTACATTTTATAACTAGTAGCATAATTATTCACTTATATTATTAAGTCAGACAAGGCTAACTCAGACATCTGGATTAAATTCCAACCTATCTTTAATGTATAAGACACATTTTATTTTGCCAATTTCATGCTGTTTGGATGTTGTTTTTTGCAGACTAGATGGCAGGAATTATTTCCTTTATTTTATAAATTCACTGTGTAGTCTGATAATATGTGTGGGTATCATATACTTCAGATAACATTTATTTATAATATTCCTGACAAAGACTTGATCAATGGCTGTTTATTTTCTTCAGATCAACCAGAAATCTAATACATATAATGTCTTTAAAAATAAATTATGAAATTGGCTTATATATCTTATATCTCCATCTTTAAATTAAATCATTAAAAGAGCCGAAAACTTTCTAATCTACTTAAAATCTGGCCATCCGATGGCATCGAGAGTTATGGGCTTATCATGTTAATAAATGTCTAATTAATAATTTATATAACATTTAAGTCCCAAAGAAAGACCTGCAATACGCAATTTATAATTATAATCATGCATAATAGGTTGTCCTTTAAAATAAGACTAGCAAAACAAACAAAAAAAACCCAAACACCCCCGAAAAGTTCAAATATGATTTCCATAATTATATGCACACACATGAATAACATTATAAAGATTGTTGGCATACAAATAATCATAGTCCATTATTTCTTATTTTATCCCAATTCACACCAAAAAAACATACATTTATGGAATAATGATTACTGAGTAATTAACACGCAACGTTTCAACAATGGTACTCAACTTTATCAAGCAAAGTTTGTTCAAAAGTTTGGTTAAACTATTATTCGATCAGGTTTTCCACGGCAATAATTTTGATGCCTTTGACTCTCTTCTCGTTTCAATTCTCAAGGGAAATTTACTTCAAATGACTATGTAGGCGTATAAAAGTTATCATTTAATTGGAATGTTCACCGTGTGGCAGATCAAGAGGGGTGTTTAGTGGGCTGAAGCTAGGATCCACAGAAATTAGTTTTAAGATACATTATTATGTAAGGTTTAGATAAAGAGCTAGCCATTCTTGCTATAATAGTTCGAAAATAGAACTATTGCGAGTGAAGATATTAGCCTTTGAAGCTTTGACAAGACGTGTGCAATAATTTCAACCACCGTACTGGTTATTCGAAGCAAAGTCTCGCTCCTCCATTTTTAGCTTAAATCAAAATATCGCTGAACTGTTCTAATCTATTTAATATCGGAGAAATCTGATGCCATCGAGAGTTGATTATGGTCTGGATAAGTAAATTCATGTCTAATTAATAATTTAAATAACATTTCAGGCCTAAAGAAAGACATGCAATAGTCAGATTTAGCTCTTGCATAATGTATGTTTAACAGAATTGTGTGTGAAATAAATTTCAAGTGAGAAAGGAGGGATGTTGACTGTCAGCAAAGAGATGTAGGTGGAAGGTGTGGAGAATGGGGAGAGCATTAAATGATACTATTTAGGTCTCAATTGTTCCCGGGCAATAATTGTTGTCGACTTATTACAGTAGTAATCATTTTGATGTAAGGTTCCATGTTTGAATTACAGCCAGGGTTATATGGATTCGTGTTCACAAACGAAATGAAATGAAATGGGGTTTAACGTCCTACTGTTATGCTCCGACTGGGCTAATGAAGACAGGTATACGCTTATGAGGGAAATTTTGCCCGAATAGCGGCACTGTGGCCTATGCTTATATCAAATTACAACTGCTATGGGTTTTTTTTATGAGCATGCCAATGTGTACACAGGACCTCGGTTTTTCGTCCCATCTAAATGACTAGACAGATGTCCTTGTCAGGTCCTTTGTCCTTCACCACTGACGATGGGAAACCACACCAGAAAATCCCAATGAACTTTCTGCGGCAACACTGGGAGAGAACCCACGACCTCTAGGCTAGCGAGCCAGGGTCTTACTCACTTAGCTACCGTGGCTCTATATTCACATACATGTAGCTTAGAACATTTGTACTTTCGTATATTTATATATACTTAATTTAACAATATTTAAATTGATCTCTATATTGGAATATCTTGTAATTGCTACAAATACAAATACTACATAATATACTTTTAAAAGCCTGCACGAGCTGATAGAAAATAACTGTTATTGTTCTGGAGACGAGTCCAATAAAAGAGACATTTGTTTATAGAATAAAATACAATTAGAATGTATAAATATCGAAGTATTATTCCATCATTTAATATCAACTAAATACATGTTACATAG